ATCAGTCCACCTCTATTTACTTCACTTTGACTGATCAGAATAAAATAAAGTTTTCACCCCATCTGCTTCAAACTGTTTCGCTGTAAGTTGACTTAGAAACTTTAATTAATTTGGGAAATTCAGCAACAACACAATAAGAGAGAATCCTAAAAATATCAAAGAGAGAAATAACAGGAGGACTGGCTGCAGAAACTTTACATTTAGAAACTAAGAAAGCCTTAAAATCCACATCCAATAGAAGGAATAATAAAGAAAGAAAAATTATGACCTATAATAAAATATCATGGATAAGGCTGTCAGAGCTTTGCTAAAACCTAAAAACCTGAGAACTCATTTCCTGCAATTGTAAATATAAAACCTTCCATCGATTCAATTAGTGACAAAATCCTCGATATAAAAGGTTCACAAGTTTTAAAACGTCTAAAGAAGAAATGAAGATTGGAGCAACGATTGAACCCGACTTGTTCCAACAGAAACTTTTATCTTTATAGACCTCAGGGAACAAACAGGGAAACATATTCGCTCCATCGGGGGACGGACAGATGCATTCTGGGTATTTATTGAAAGCGTTTGGGTCCCATGAATGAGGATCCGTCAATCAATGAGTTTGATTTTATAAAGTCGATCTAAGCTTGTAAATATTTGATCAGTTTATTCATGAAGCTTCTGCTTCTATTGTTTCTGTTGGGATTTCTGATCTTTACTTGTTTATTTTCTCCTGCATCTTTGAGACTAAACTACTGTTGGGATTGTTTCCTTAACTTTGAATCAATCTGACTGGATGATCTGGTTGAACTGGAAAGTGCCTTGAGATGACTTGTGTTGTGAATTGGAGCTATAGAAATAAACTGAATTGAACTGAATTGAATTTCCTTTAATCTAACTGGGCCCCAGTCTTCCTCAGGTCAGGCCCTGGATGTTTCCTGCACCTCCTGATCTAATCCTAATCCTGCACCTAATCCTAACCCTGCACCTAATCCTAACCCTGCACCTAATCCTAACCCTAACCTGAGTTAGACGATGAGATCCTCAGACTCCAGAGAACCTGCCTGCAGCCTGAGGAGCTGATTCATCTCTTTGTTTCAGGAAGCAGAAACATCTCAACCTTTTAGGACATTTGAGGAACTTTAAATCCTGGTTGATCAGTTTATGAAACATTTTGATCTGATTTTCTTCTTTAAACAGTTTGATTTATAATGATTCTGATGGAGAAAATAACCTCATTGTTCTAATAAAGTTGCTTCCAAGTGTTGCTGCAGTTTTCTCATGATCTTTGATGGTCTTCATGCACCTGAGGAGGCGGTGAAGCCGTTCCACACATGGTGGATCCAACTGGATGTTTAGTTTGAAGATTTATTTAGATCCATTTAAGCAGATTTAACTCTGGTTTCTATATCCAGGTTTTTATAGAAAGGCGCCACAGTTAGATTTAACCTTGATGTTGGAATTCCTTCAGATTGTCCCATTTCTCTTTAACTTACAGCAATCTAACATTTTTTACATCTAATCCTAAAAACTGTGCAGACATTGAGAAATTAGACATTTTACAGAATGAATCGTTAGACAGTTAACAGATGACACCGTTTTCCTAAAAAATCACAAACCTCCAGACTAACGCTAAACGCTTAAATCCACCATGACCCCCCCTAAAGAAATATCTAGCATTCCAATTAAATCTGAAACTAAAAACCAAAAATCTAAACTCAACCTTAATTATTGAAGTAAAGTAAATCCAAACTGAACTCACGGCTCCAACGAAACCTCTCTATGTTAGACAGATCTGGAATATTTATCCAGATTAATTTATAGCTCTGCTATCCCAAATAGCTTAACCAAGACTATTTAACAAAACAGGTGGAATAAAACTGGTATTACTGATTTAAATATCCATAAAATGAAACGGTCAGAGTTCCATAAACAGGCGTTAATATACTGGAAAATGATTTATGTTCATAACTAATGACCACTTCCTCTCATATGGAATAATAGATTAATAAGCTGCTTTTTCTATATCTGCTTCTGTCTCCTTGAACCCCAGTGGGCCTCAGCAGATGGCCTGGTTCTGCTGGAGGTTTCTTCCTGTTCAAAGGGAGTTTTTCCTCTCCACTGTCGCTACAAGCATGCTTAGTGTGAGGGATTGCTGAAGAGTCAATGAGTCGATGCAATCAGCTGGTTTTCCTTAGATAGAAAACTTTGAATCAATCTGACTGGATGATCTGGTGAACTGGAAAGTGACCTGAGATGACATGATGTGAATTGGAGCTATAGAAATAAACTGAATTGAAATTGAAATTAAAACATCGCAATAAATCCTTATTTTACAAAGAGTGGATGGAGAAAAATATTTAATTAAAATACTGAATACTAATAGTTGCTTGTTAATCGAACAATTTTGAACAAAATATCAATTCTTTCCTCTAAAAGCTGAATTTACCAGATAAATTAATGTCTTTACCAAAACTATTTATTACTCAGATAAAAATATAATATCATCCAACATATCCCACCTGATCTATTAATGGAACATCAATCACTGACCAACAATTCAATGATCACAATTAGGAAATATCCAAATTAAACTTTATTAGCAAATAAATTTAAATAACATTCTTTGTTAATTGGAAAAAAACTCAATTGAAAGACTGAGAAATTTTTATTCAACCAAAAGCAAAAGAAACTAACTTTAAAATGTTAAATGAACTTTATTCCTCAGAAGAGTTTTAATATTATAAAGTTTTAATATTGATGCTTATTGTGTGAAAGTGACGATAGATCGGGTCTCCTATAAACGCCATCAAACCAAAACATGGAGGAACTGCTTAGAAAGATCAAATCAAAAACTTTATTTCCTGGATTTATGTCTTTAAAAATGAGAAAAACTGTTAAAAAACAACAGAAATCTGCTTTAACCAGATTCTATGTTTAGAAACTCTTTATTCATAAAGAATGTTGAGATCATCTCCACTATTTAACGCCATTTGATCTGAATTCAGGTTAAAATCTGCTACTGATGGGATTAATCACTGATGTTCATCAATCCTCACATTATTGTTTCAATATTATTCAATTATTCGGTTTTTTGTTCCTCATCAATGTTGCCTTAGATTTCCGTTCTGGAATCAACCTCTGCTTTGCCTCCCAGTTGGACTGTTGCTGTTGCTTGTTTGCACTTAATTTGATTAAAGTTTATTGAAAAAAAAAATCACCAGGCTTCAAGGTGCATTGTGGGAAATTTCCAGTTCACTACTTTTCCATCAACCAGACGTTTAAAATGGTGGAATCGCTGCTCTGTTCTTCATCTCTGAGGGAAACATTTTCTTTGACATCACATCACATCATGTATTTTTATGCTTTCTTCTACAACACTGTGCAGAATTATTAGACAAGTTATATTTTTGAGGATTATTTTATTATTGGGTCATAATTGTTCTCAATCAACCCAAAGGCTCCTTAATATCAGTTTCATATTTTTGGAAGTTGATGTGTTTTATTTTTAGATTTGTCCGTTTAACGAGGATGTCTGTGTTCAGGTAAATATTACTGCAGAATTATTAGGCAACGTAATAAAAACAAATATATTCATCTCACTTGTTTATTTCCACCAGATAATCCAATAGAACAATTCATTCAGAAATAAAGATTTGCAACATTAAAAACCAAATCAGTGACCAATCTATCCTCCTTTCTCCACCATGACGCTCTAAATCCTCCATCCATAGATTCTGTCAGAGTCCTGTGTGCGATCCTCATGGCGTGCAGCAGCCTCCCTGTTCTCCCCCCCTGTAGATCTCACCTTTCATGAAGGACCACAGGTTCTCCATGATCAGATCAGGTGACCAAGGCGCCCATGTCATTATTTTCTCTCCTTTTAGCCTTTTCCTGGCCGCCACGCTGTGGTGTATTCTGATGCGTGTGACGGAGCATCATCCTGCAGGAATATCAGGTGTTTCTGGAATGATGGCGTCTTCTTCTTCTACCGCTGTTTGAAGAAGGCGTCTTCCAGGAACTGGCAGTAGGTCTGGGAGTTGATCTGGACTCCATCATCAACCTGAAAAGGTCCCACAAGCTCATCTTTGATGATAGCAGCCCATAGCATTACCCCACCTCCACCTTGCTGGCGTCTGAGTGGATAAGGAACTTGCTGCCCTTTCCTGATCCAGCCTGGTGTCCATCCATCCATCTGGACCATCTAGACTCTCTCTCATTCCATCAGACCCAAACACCTTGGAAGAATCAGGCTGCAGAGATTTCTTGGCCCAATCTGGACGTTTTGTCTCGTGCGTCTTGTTCAAAGGTGCCTTTTTTCAGCTTTCCTTACCTTGGCCAGGTCCCTGAGGATTGAGCACCTCGTTCTTCTCGGCGCTCCAGACATGTTGCAGCTCTGAAATATGGAACAACTGGTGGCTAATGGCTTCCTGGCAGCTTCACGCTTCATCCTTCTCAATTCATGGGGAGTTATTTAGCGTCTTCTTTTTTCAACACGCTTCTTGCGCCCCTGTTGGCTATTTGCCATGAAACGCTTGATTGAGCGATGATCCCGCTTCAAAAGCTTGGCAATAACCAAACTGCCGCTTCCCTCTGAAAGACATCTGACCATTTTTGACTTTTCAGAGTTAAATCTCTTTTCTGACCTATTCTGACAAAGGAAAGGAAGTTGCCGAATAATTAAGCACACCTTCTATAGGGTGTTGATGTCATTAGGCCACGCCCCTTCTCATTACAGAGATGCACACCACCTGATTTACTTCATTGGTAGTTGGCTTTCAGCCTCAACAGCTTGGAGGCGACATGTATGAAAACTGCCTAATAATTCTGCTCAGTGTTTATTTACTCTTTTCTATTATATTTTTAAAGGCATTTTTCTTTATCTTTCTTTAATTCTTTGTTCTCTCTATAAGCTACTGGAACCCGAGGGAAGGAGTAATCGCAGGGATTAATAAAGCTGAGTCTAATTCAGGGATTAGGGCAGACATTATAACAGAGGAGGTCTGGACTCCATGTGATTTATTCTCTAAAGGTTTTAATCTCATAGAATAAAATGAAATCTTAGAAAAGTGTGAAGCTGATTAATTAGATGTTTAATTGGGATCCAAACAAACTGGGATGTATTGTTATTATTCCTGCTGTTCAGAACCGGATGAATAAATGGATCCAAAGGAAAATCTAAGAAAATAATGTTAAAAAATAACGGAGAGACTTCAGTGGCCAAAGGTTTTGAAGGGCGGGGTTAGAAAACAAAGCCCCCCCCCCAGGTGGTCTTTGTCCTCCTCATCTGGTTTCTTCTCCACAGAGAGTCTTTCCTACCAGAGCAGTTGGCTGAGCTTCCTGCAGATGTTTGATCTGTCTGAGAAAACCAGGAAAGTTCAAACAGCTCTGCACACCTGGATGCTGTCAGAGACCAGGTGAGCTAAAGCTCTGCACACCTGGACGCTGTCAGAGACCAGGTGAGCTAAAGCTCTGCACACCTGGATGCTGTCAGAGACCAGGTGAGCTAAAGCTCTGCACACCTGGACGCTGTCAGAGACCAGGTGAGCTACGGCTGAATGTGTTATTCTGGACTGATGGACTGGATCCCAGTCTGGCTCCGATGGGACTGATGGAGTCCAGGTGCGGTTCTGATTGGGTCCATTAGAACATGGTAGTGGCAGAGAGAACCAGCAGGTTCTGGACTCCAGCTGAGCGGATCAGAACCAGTTCATCCATCTGATCATTTTTCGCTTTCACACCATTTTTTCTTCTTCTTCTTCTTGTCTGTTGTCATGGTAACACTGACTTCCTGCTCTGCTCTGGGTTCTCCATCATCTCTCTCCGGTTCTGCATCGAGCTGAGCGCGTTTCTTCTTCTTCTTCTTCTGTCCTGGTTCCTCTGCAGCAGATGGATCTCCTCCACCTTCATTCTCCTCCACCTTCTTCTTCTTCTTCTTGGCCGGCCGCTCCTCGCCGTCCTCCACAGGAAGCAGAACATCTGCTGCCTCCCTTCCTCCCTCAGCTCCATCTTTCCTCTTTTTCTTCTTCTTCTTTGGTTGTGGATCTCCGTTTACGTCCTGGTGTCTGTCTGTGGACCTCCTGGTCTCCTCTGTGACGCGGTCGGCTGCAGAACCTCCTCTGTGTTGGTTCTTCCTGTACTGGGCCAGGAACTCTGCTTCCTGCTGCTCCAGCCGGGCCAGCTTGGCGCTCATGGTCAGGCCGTGGCGGGCGCCCCTGCAGAGACACAGACAGACGTCAGAACCTGCTGAGCTGCTTCTTCTCATCATTCTGGATTTCCTTCCAACTCACTTATGAGCCGTTCGTCCTCCACAGACCTTCATCAGATCCGCGTCTGAAAGCCTGAGGAAGAAAAAGCTCCAATTACCATCTGAAGATTAGCATCAAAGCTACAAGGCGCCTCCATCTCAGGATAGACGTAGATGATGACCAGCAGAACATGTTAAATCTAGTATAGAATTTAAAATCCTCCTTCTCACATATAAAGCCTTAAATGGCCAAGCTCCATCTGATATCAGAGATCTGATTGTTCCTTATGTTCCTAACAGAGCACTTCGCTCTCAATCTGCAGGTTTACTAGTGGTTCCTAGAATTTCTAAAAGTAGAATGGGAGGCAGATCTTTTAGTTATCAGGCTCCTCTCCTGTGGAACCAACTACCAGTTTTAGTCCGTGAGGCAGACACCCTGTCTACTTTTAAGGCTAGGCTTAAAACTTTCCTTTTTGATAAAGCTTCTAGTTAGAGTGGCTCAGGTTATCCTGATCTATCGCTATAGTTCTGCTGCTATAGGCTTAGACTGCTGGAGGACATAGGGACCCCTTTTTCATCATTCTGCTTATTCTATCTCTATAGATCTGCTGCTAGAGGCTCAGACTGCTGGAGGACATGATGAAGGTGTGATGATTGAACAGAGACGGGTCGGTCTGGGAGGTTCTGGAAGGAACGGGTCGGACCTAAAGATCAGATAGAAATGAGAGGAATGGAGGATGAAGGTTTTACCCGGTGGTGCTGGACAGATCCAGCTTCTGCTCCTCTTCCTCATCAGAACTGCTGTCTTCTTCTGCCGGTTTGGACTTTGGTTCTGGCAGCTCCTGACCCGACAGCAGCGTGGCCGACTGAAACACAGAACCGCTGTCAGAACCGACCCGGCCGCCGCAGAGCAGAACCAGGCAGAACCTTTACCTTCACAAAGCAGCCGTACAGCTTGTCTTTGCTCTGCAGAGATTTACGGGGCTTCTTGTTGGAGATCGCTCCCTCCTCTTCCTCAGCAGTCTTCCTCAGTGTGACCCGGTTCTGCTCGACACAATCAGAGAACAGAACCAGAACCAATTCTACTCAGTTTATTTCTATAGCTCCAGTTCCTATCAAAGTTTTCTATCTAAGGAAAAGCAGCTGATTGCATCGACTCATTGACTCTTCAGCAATCCCTCACACTAAGCATGCTTGTAGCGACAGTGGAGAGGAAAAACTCCCTGACGTGTGGACTCACCTGGTCCGCCTCCACCTGCAGGCTGGACGAGGCTTTATTGAAGACATGGTCCCACCAGTGGAAGCTGAACTGCTCTCCTTCTCTGTGGCCGATCTGAAGGACAAACCGGGTCAGCTGGACGGTTCTGACCCGTAAAGACCGGCAGGAGGAAGGACACTCACCCCTCCTTTGTCACATTTCACCTTCACCTTGATGGCCTCGGATCGGCCGCTCTCGGTCCGCCCCAGGCCTTTACCTGCAGAGGAGAGGTTCAAACCGGGTCAGAGAAGAGGTTCAAACCGGGTCAGAGGAGAGGTTCAAACCGGGTCAGAGAGCAGAACCCGGACCTGCTGGCGGAGGAGAGGACGACGGTCTCACCTTGTTCCCAGCCGTGACGCAGCAGCAGCTGCTCCGCAAACCTCAGACCTCTGCTCTGCTGCTCCGCTTCCGCCATCCCACCTGGAACAGAACCAGAACCAGATTCACAGACCAGAACCAGAACCAGTTTCACAGACCAGGACCAGAACCAGATTCACAGACCAGAACCAGAACCGGATTAACAGAACAGAACCAGAACCAGATTCACAGACCAGAACCAGAACCAGATTCACAGACCAGAACCAGAACCAGATTCACAGACCAGAACCAGAACCAGAACCGGATTCACAGACCAGAACCAGAACCAGAACCGGATTCACAGACCAGAACCAGAACCGGATTCACAGACCAAAACCAGAACCAGAACCGGCTTCACAGACCAGAACTGGATTCAGGCCAGAACCAGATTTACAGACCAGAACCAGAACCGGCTTCACAGACCAAAACCAGAACCAGAACCGGATTCACAGACCAGAACCAGAACCAGAACCGGATTCACAGACCAAAACCAGAACCAGAACCGGCTTCACAGACCAGAACTGGATTCAGGCCAGAACCAGATTTACAGACCAGAACCAGAACCGGCTTCACAGACCAGAACTGGATTCAGGGCAGAACCAGATTTACAGACCAGAACCAGAACCGGCTTCACAGACCAGAACCGGATTCAGGTCAGAACCAGATTTACAGACCAAAACCAGATTCACAGACCAGAACCAGATTCACAAACCAGAACCAGAACCGGATTCACAGACCAAAACCAGAACCAGAACCGGATTCACAGACCAAAACCAGAACCGGCTTCACAGACCAGAACCAGATTCACAGACCAGAACCAGAACCGGATTAACAGAACAGAACCAGAACCAGATTCACAGACCAGAACCAGAACCAGATTCACAGACCAGAACCAGAACCAGAACCGGATTCACAGACCAGAACCAGAACCGGATTCACAGACCAAAACCAGAACCAGAACCGGATTCACAGACCAAAACCAGAACCAGAACCGGCTTCACAGACCAGAACTGGATTCAGGCCAGAACCAGATTTACAGACCAGAACCAGAACCGGCTTCACAGACCAGAACTGGATTCAGGCCAGAACCAGATTTACAGACCAGAACCAGAACCGGCTTCACAGACCAGAACCGGATTCAGGTCAGAACCAGATTTACAGACCAAAACCAGATTCACAGACCAGAACCAGATTCACAAACCAGAACCAGAACCGGATTCACAGACCAAAACCAGAACCAGAACCGGATTCACAGACCAAAACCAGAACCGGCTTCACAGACCAGAACCGGATTCAGGCCAGAACCAGATTTACAGACCAGAACCAGAACCGGGGGTAATCTGTGATAGCAGGCATTTGTGGCCGGTCCTAATTTGATCGTGATAATCTGCTCATAATCTGATGGAGGCGGAGCTACGTCCAGGTGAGGCCGTCTGCCCTGATCTGCTCACCTGCTGCTATTCTGTGCCTGGTGTGCGGATCCAACCTGCCCCTCCCTCACCTGCAGGATTAGCTCCGCCCCTCCCTCACCTGCAGGATTAGCTCCGCCCCTCCCTCACCTGCAGGATTAGCTCCGCCCCTCCCTCACCTGCAGGATTAGCTCCGCCCCTCCCTCACCTGCAGGATTAGCCCCGCCCCTCCCTCAGCAGCGCCTCCCTCACCTGCAGGATTAGCTCCGCCCCTCCCTCACCTGCAGGATTACCTCCGCCCCTCCCTCAGCAGCGCCTCCCTCACCTGCAGGATTAGCTCCGCCCCTCCCTCAGCAGCCCCTCCCTCACCTGCAGGATTAGCTCCGCCCCTCCCTCACCTGCAGGATTAGCCCCGCCCCTCCCTCAGCAGCGCCTCCCTCACCTGCAGGATTAGCTCCGCCCCTCCCTCACCTGCAGGATTACCTCCGCCCCTCCCTCAGCAGCGCCTCCCTCACCTGCAGGATTAGCTCCGCCCCTCCCTCAGCAGCCCCTCCCTCACCTGCAGGATTAGCTCCGCCCCTCCCTCACCTGCAGGATTAGCCCCGCCCCTCCCTCAGCAGCGCCTCCCTCACCTGCAGGATTAGCTCCGCCCCTCCCTCACCTGCAGGATTACCTCCGCCCCTCCCTCAGCAGCGCCTCCCTCACCTGCAGGATTAGCTCCGCCCCTCCCTCACCTGCAGGATTAGCTCCGCCCCTCCCTCCATCCAGCCTCCTTTTATTCTGGCTTCCATCAGCCTCTGCTGCCCCCTGGAGTCTTTTTGTTAATAAATTTCTTTTTAAAGAACCTTTGGCTGAATTCTGGATCCGCTGCCGTAATTCATCACTAAATGTTTACATTTCTTTGAACCAGACGTGATTTTTCTTTGAAGGAAGAGTTTTTTTCTGTGTGCCATAGATTATTTTATTTTATTAATTCATATTTTCAGTTGAATGGATTCAGGGAAAAATGCAGAAAACAACCGATTAGATTATTAGTTTCTTTTACTATTTGGGATCACAGAGCAGCACAGTAATGCGCCTTCATTTATATATTTAAATAACTTTATTAATATAATCAAAGTTTATTAATAATGTTGATATAAATATTTAGTTTTGTTTCAAAAAACAATGAGTTCAGTTTTGTTTTTCAAAATGTTTTAATAAACATTTAACTTCCGGCCTTCAGCTTGGACTAATTTATTTAACTTCCCGGACTGATTATGGAAAATTATTAATAATTATTATAAAACTATAATTTACATGTTTGATGAGGAATTCAAAGTTAATCAGTTTGCTGATAATCTATGGCTGACATGGCGTCCATCTGCTTCATCTCTGGGAAGATCGATGTGGAAACTTAAATTAAGCACAGATCTGTTTAACTCTTTAATCCAGAGCTGATCTAGAGCTGATCCAGAGCTAATCTAGAGCTAATCTAGAACTAATGTAGAGCTAACCCAGAGCTGATCTAGAGCTACGGTAATCCAGAGCTGATCTAGAGCTAATCTAGAGCTGATCTAGAACTAATGTAGAGCTAATCCAGAGCTGATCCAGAGCTAATCTATAGCTAATTCAGAGCTGATCCAGAGCTGATCTAGAAACAGATGTAGAGCTAATCCAGAACTGATCTAGAGCTGATCTAGAACTAATGTAGAGCTAACCCAGAGCTGATCTAGATCTACGGTAATCCAGAGCTGATCTAGAACTAATGTAGAGCTAACCCAGAGCTGATCAAGAACTAATCCAGAGCTGATCCAGAGCTAATTCAGAGCTGATCCAGAGCTAATCTAGAACAGATGTAGAGCTAATCCAGAGCTGATATAGAGCTACGGTAATCTAGAGCCGATCTAGAGCTAATCTAAAACTAATCTAGAACTAATGTAGCGCTAACCCGGAGCTAATCTAGAACTAATGTAGAGCTAATCTAGAGCTGACCCAGAGCTGATCTAGAACTAATCTGGAACTAATGTAGAGCTAAATCAGCCCTAATCTAGAGCTGATCCAGAGCTAATCTAGAGCTAATCTATTCTGCTTTTATTCCTGACAAAAATATGAAGGAAGTCGATTTAATAATCTCTCCATTGATCTGGAGGAATAAATCTTCCTATTTCTGATGATTAATCTCATCAGAGATGCAGAGGGTGAAATTAGTTTTAGATTAGAGGCTCTGATTGGTTCATTCAGGATAAATTAGTTAAAGACCCTTTGATCTCCTTTCATAGCTGTTAGGTTTATTATTTATACATCATTGTTATTCTGTCAGATTAGACAGAGCAGAAGGCCTTCCTTCACAGGGTGGATGTCACTGTGTGTCCGGAGCTCATCTAATCAGGACAGCCTTCATGTCTTTAAGATACACCGGATATGGGAACATCTTCTGATAGGAGAGCTGCTGTAACCCTGAAGCATAGAGGGAAGCTGTATACCGGTCAGGACATGGATGGCAGTTCCTGATACGGACAGCTAAACATCCACCTGATGCATCACAGACTCAGAAGCTATAAGAAGCAGGTGATGACGTTGTTCAGGGCTCAAACTTTGCCGGACGCTCGCGGACGGGATGTTTAAGCCCACAGCTGTGGAACCGGTGGGGAGGGGAGCCCCCCCCCCCCCCTCCCGGGGCGCGGCAGCCTTCCTTCCAGGGGGACACATCCTCCTCATTTTAACACAGCTCTACATCTACATCTAATGAACTGGATCAGAACCTGAGGCGGTTCTAAACTATCAGCTGGGTCCTCGGAACCACCCCCCTTCCCTCCACACACAGACCGAACCGAACCGAACCGACCTGTCCGCTGATTGACTCACCGCGTCTTTTCCTCGCTGATGTCCGCAGAAAAACACGCGTGTCCCGCATGAACCCGGAAATACATTCCCTCCGCTTCCTTCTTCTTCTTCGTGGAATTTTTGGCGGTTGCCACGCAACGAATGGTGCATTACCGCCACCAAGTGGTGTGGATCAGAACGGCTACTACTTTATACTAAACAAAGTCACAATCAGATTAAAACAAAACCAAAATAATTCAGATCCTCTCAGTTACATTTATTCATCTAAGATCATGAAAAACTATTAGATTAAACCAGTTTTTTCTAAGTATTTCTATTATTGCTCCTCCTCCTGCTCCTCCTGCTCCTTCTCCTCCTCCTGCTCCTCCTCCTCCTGCTCCTCCTCCTCCTGCACCTCCTTCTCCCCCTCCTCCACCTCCTGCTCCTCCTCCTCCTGCACCTCCTTCTCCCCCTCCTCCACCTCCTGCTCCTCCTCCTCCTGCTCCTTCTCCTCCTCCTGCTCCTCCTTCTCCCCCTCCTCCACCTCCTCCTTCTCCTGCTCCTCCTCCTCCTGCTCCTTCTCCTCCTCCTGCTCCTCCTCCTCCTGCACCTCCTCCTCCTGCTCCTTCTCCTCCTCCTGCTCCTCCTCCTTCTCCTCCTCCTGCTCCTCCTCCTTCTCCTCCTCCTGCTCCTCCTTCTCCCCCTCCTCCACCTCCTCCTTCTCCTGCTCCTCCTCCTCCTGCTCCTTCTCCTCCTCCTGCTCCTCCTCCTCCTGCACCTCCTCCTCCTGCTCCTTCTCCTCCTCCTGCTCCTCCTCCTTCTCCTCCTCCTGCACCTCCTTTTCCCCCTCCTCCACCTCCTGCTCCTCCTCCTCCTGCTCCTTCTCCTCCTCCTGCTCCTCCTGCTCCTTCTCCTCCTCCTGCTCCTCCTCCTCCTGCACCTCCTCCTGCTCCTCCTCCTCCTGCTCCTCCTTCTCCCCCTCCTCCACCTCCTCCTTCTCCTGCTCCTCCTCCTCCTGCTCCTCCTCCTCCTGCTCCTTCTCCTCCTCCTGCTCCTCCTCCTCCTGCACCTCCTTCTCCCCCTCCTCCACCTCCTCCTTCTCCTGCTCCTCCTGCTCCTTCTCCTCCTCCTGCTCCTCCTCCTCCTGCACCTCCTCCTGCTCCTCCTCCTCCTGCTCCTCCTTCTCCCCCTCCTCCACCTCCTCCTTCTCCTGCTCCTCCTCCTCCTGCTCCTTCTCCTCCTCCTGCTCCTCCTCCTCCTGCACCTCCTTCTCCCCCTCCTCCACCTCCTCCTTCTCCTGCTCCTCCTCCTCCTGCTCCTTCTCCTCCTCCTGCTCCTCCTCCTTCTCCTCCTCCTGCACCTCCTTCTCCCCCTCCTCCACCTCCTGCTCCTCCTCCTCCTGCTCCTTCTCCTCCTCCTGCTCCTCCTTCTCCCCCTCCTCCACCTCCTCCTTCTCCTGCTCCTCCTCCTCCTGCTCCTTCTCCTCCTCCTGCTCCTCCTCCTCCTGCACCTCCTCCTGCTCCTCCTTCTCCCCCTCCTCCACCTCCTCCTTCTCCTGCTCCTCCTGCTCCTTCTCCTCCTCCTGCTCCTCCTCCTCCTGCCCCTCCCTCCCCTCCCCCCCCTCCTCCTCCTTCTCCCCCCTCCCTGTTTCCTCCTCCCCCTTTGCCCCTCCCTTCCCCCCCCTTCCTCCACCCCCTTCCTTCCCCTGCCCCTCCTGCTCCTTTTTCCTCCTCCTGCTCTTTCCTTTCCTTTCCGGCACCTCCCCCTGCCCCTTTCCTCCCCCCTGCTCCTTCCCTTTCCCTCTGCCTCCCTCCTCCCCCTCCTCCTGGCCCCTCCCCCTCCCTCCCCCTTTCTCCCCTCCTCCCCCTCCCCCCTTCCCCTGCTCCTCCTGTCCTTTCCTCCCCCTTGCCCCTCCTCCTCCTGCCCCCCTTTCTCCTCCCCCTGCTCCTCCCCCTCCTTCCCTCCTCCTTCTCCCCCTCCTCCCCCCCTCCTTCTCCTCTCCTCCCCCTTTCCTGCCCCTTCCCTCCCCCGCACCTCCCCCTGCTCCTCCTCCCCCCGGGCTCCCCCTTTCCCCCCCTCCTCCCCCTCCTCCTTCTCCTGCTCCTCCCCCCCCGGGCTCCTTCCCCTCCTCCTGCTCCTTTCCTCCCCCTGCACCCCCTTTCTCCCCTCCCCCACCTCCCCCTTTTTCCCTGCCCCTCCTCCTCCTGCTCCTTCTCCCCCTCCTGCTCCTTTCCTCCTCCTGCCCCCTTCCTTTTTCCCCCCCTTTCCTTCCACCCCCTTCCCCCTTCCCCTGCCCCCCTCCCCCAAACCTCCCCCTTCCCCCTGCTCCCCCTCCTCCTGCCCCTTTTCCCCTCCTCCTGCTCCCCCTTTCCCCTGCACCCCCTTTCTCCCCCCCCTTCCCACCTCCTCCTCTCCGGGCTCCTCCCCCCTCTGCTCCCCCTTTCCCCCCTTTCCCTCCCCCTCCCCCTTTCCCCTGCTCCTCCCCTCCTGCCCCTTTCCCCTTGCTCCTCCTCCCCCTGCCCCTCCTTCTCCCCCTCCCCCCTTCCCCCTCCCTTTCCGCCCCTTCTCCTCCTCCTGTCCCCTCCTTCCCCTCCTCCGGGAAACCCTTTTTCCCCCCCTTTTCCTCCACCTCCTGTCCTCCTCCCCCTCCTGCTCCTTCCCCTTTCCCCCTGCTCCCCCTCCCCCACCCCCTCCTTCCCCTGCTCCCCCTCCCCCTGCCCCTTCCTCCCCCTCCTGCTCCCCCTCCTGCCCCTCCCCTTGCTCCTCCTCCCCCCTTGTCCTCTTTCTCCCCCCCTCCCACCCTCCTCCTTCTCCTGCCCCCTCCTGCTCCTTCTCCTTCCTGCTCCTCCTCCCCCTGCCCCTCCCCCTGTTCCTCCCCCCCTTTGCTCCTTCTCCCTCCTCTGCTACCTCCTCCTCCTGCTCCCCCCTTCTCCCCCCTCCCCCAAACCTCCTCCTTTCCTGTCCCTCCTGCCCCCTTCTCCTCCTCCTGCTCCTCCTCCCCCTTTGGCCACCCCCCTCCTGTCCTCCTCCTCCGGGCCCCTTTCCTCCCCCCTCCTGCCCCTCCTCCCCCTTTTGCTCCTCCTTCTCCCCCCTCCCCCCCTTTCCTTCTCCTGTCCTCCTCCTCCTCCCTTCTCCCCCCTTTGCCCCTTTCCTCCCCCCCTGCACCTCCTTTTTTCCCCCCCCTCCCCTTCTCCTCCTCCTGCCCCTCCCCCTCCTGCACCTCCTCTGCTTCCTCCCCCTTCTCCCCCTTTTCTCCCCCTCCTCCACCTCCTCCTTCTTTTGATCCTCCTGCTATTCCCCTCCTCCGGGCCCCTCCTGTCCTTCTCCTCCTCCTGCTCCTCCCCCTCCTTTTGCCCCCCTTTCCTTTTTTCTCCCCTCCTCCACCTCCCCCTTCCCCCTGCTCCCCTCCCTTCCTTTTTCCTCCCCCTGCTCTCCCCCTCCTGCACCCCCTCCTTTGCTCCTCCCCCCCTGCTCCTTCCCCTTTCCTTTCCCTGCTCCCCTTCTCCCCCTCCCCCCACCCCCCTCCTTCTCCTGCTCCTCCCCCTTTCCCCTTTCCCTCCTCCTTTCCTCCCCTCCTCCTCGTCCTCCTCCTCCTGCTCCTCCTCCTGCTCCTCCTCCTCCTGCACCTCCTCCTGCTCCTGCTCCTCCTCCTCCTGCACCTCCTTCTCCCCCTCCTCCACCTCCTCCTTCTCCTGCTCCTCCTCCTCCTGCTCCTCCTCCTCCTGCACCTCCTCCTGCTCCTCCTCCTCCTGCTCCTCCTTCTCCCCCTCCTCCACCTCCTCCTTCTCCTGCTCCTTCTCCTCCTCCTGCTCCTCCTCCTCCTGCACCTCCTTCTCCCCCTCCTCCACCTCCTCCTTCTCCTGCTCCTTCTCCTCCTCCTGCTCCTCCTCCTCCTGCTCCTCCTTCTCCCCCTCCTCCACCTCCTCCTTCTCCTGCTCCTTCTCCTCCTCCACCTCCTCCTTCTCCTGCTCCTTCTCCTCCTCCACCTCCTCCTTCTCCTGCTCCTCCTCCTCCTGCTCCTTCTCCTCCTCCTGCTCCTCCTCCACCCCCTCCTTCTCCTGCTCCTCCTCCTCCTTTTGAAACCTCCTCTGACCTTTTCCCCCTTACCCTCCTCCCCCCCTCCTCCTCCTCCGGGCTCCTTTTCTCCTCCTCCCCCCTCCTTTTTCCTTTCCCCCCTTCCTCCCCTTTTTTCCTTTGCTCCTCCCCCCCCCTCCTCCTCCTTTTCCCCCTCCTCCTCCTTGCTCCTTCCCTCCCCCCCTCTTTCCCCCCTTCCTCCCCTCCCCCCCCTCCCCCCCTTTTTGCCCTTTTCCCCCTTTGCTCCTCCTTTCTCCCCCTCCCTCCCACTCCTCCTTCTCCTGCTCCCCCTTTTCCTCCTGCTCCTTCTCCTCCTCCTGCCCCTCCTCCTTTTTGGGGGCCCTCCTTCTCCCCCCTCCCACCCCCCCCTTTTTCCTCCCCCCCTTCCTGCCCCTTTTTCCCTCCTCTCCTCCTCCCTCCTTTTTTCCCCCTTCCTCATCCCCCTCCCCCTTTCTCCCCTCCTCCCCTCCCCCCCTTTTTCTCCTCCTCCTCCCTCCTTCTCCCCTCTCCCCTCCTCCTTCTCCTGCTCTCTCCTTCCCCCTCCTCCACTCCTGCACCTCCTCTCCTGCCCTCCTTCTCCCCTCCTCCTCCTCTGCTCCTTCTCCTCCTCCTTCTCCCCCTCCTCCACCTCCTCCTTCTCCTGCTCCTCCTCCTCCTGCTCCTTCTCCTCCTCCTTCTCCCCCTCCTCCACCTCCTCCTCCTCCTGCTCCTCCTCCTCCTGCACCTCCTTCTCCCCCTCCTCCACCTCCTGCTCCTCCTCCTCCTGCACCTCCTTCTCCCCCTCCTCCACCTCCTGCTCCTTCTCCTCCTCCTTCTCCCCCTCCTCCACCTCCTCCTTCTCCTGCTCCTCCTCCTCCTGCTCCTTCTCCTCCTCCTTCTCCCCCCTCCTCCACCTCCTCCTTCTCCTGCTCCTCCTCCTCCTGCTCCTTCTCCTCCTCCTGCTCCTCCTCCTCCTGCACCTCCTTCTCCCCCTCCTCCTCCTCCTGCTCCTTCTCCTCCTCCTTCTCCCCCTCCTCCACCTCCTCCTTCTCCTGCTCCTCCTCCTCCTGCTCCTTCTCCACCTCCTGCTCCTCCTCCTCCTGCACCTCCTTCTCCCCCTCCTCCTCCTCCTGCTCCTTCTCCTCCTCCTTCTCCCCCTCCTCCACCTCCTCCTTCTCCTGCTCCTCCTCCTCCTGCTCCTTCTCCTCCTCCTGCTCCTCCTCCTCCTGCACCTCCTCCTCCTGCTCCTTCTCCTCCTCCTGCTCCTCCTCCTTCTCCTCCTCCTGCACCTCCTTCTCCCCCTCCTCCACCTCCTGCTCCTCCTCCTCCTGCTCCTTCTCCTCCTCCTGCTCCTCCTCCTCCTGCACCTCCTCCTGCTCCTCCTCCTCCTGCTCCTTCTCCTCCTCCTGCTCCTCCTCCTCCTGCACCTCCTCCTGCTCCTCCTCCTCCTGCTCCTCCTTCTCCCCCTCCTCCACCTCCTCCTTCTCCTGCTCCTCCTGCTCCTTCTCCTCCTCCTGCTCCTCCTCCTCCTGCACCTCCTCCTGCTCCTCCTCCTCCTGCACCTCCTTCTCCCCCTCCTCCACCTCCTGCTCCTCCTCCTCCTGCTCCTTCTCCTCCTCCTGCTCCTCCTCCTCCTGCACCTCCTTCTCCCCCTCCTGCTCCTCCTCCTCCTGCTCCTCCTTCTCCTCCTCCTGCTCCCCCTCCTCCACCTCCTCCTTCTCCTGCTCCTCCTCCTCCTGCTCCTTCTCCTCCTCCTGCTCCTCCTCCTTCTCCTCCTCCTGCACCTCCTTCTCCCCCTCCTCCTCCTCTTGCACCTCCTCCTCCTCCTCCTGTCTTACGGTGGCTGTCAGACTAGTTAAAGTTCAGCCATCAGCTGATCAGAACTAAACGAGGAAACAGGAAACAGAAAAACCCAAAGTTTTCTAAACTGCGTATTTTAACCCAACATAATTTATTTATTAATAAATAATCTAATTCTCCCTGATAATAAATAATCTATATTTATGTTTATACCATTCAGCCAGGTTCTGATGGTCCTACTGGTTTTTGAACCGTTTCCCAGTTTAAATCTCTCTCTTCCAGATATTTTTCTGCAGCTTTCACTATTATCTGGATTTTTCAGTTTTTTCAGTTTTCTGAGCACTACAGTCGATCACTTCTAGCGTGAAAATGATTCAGTCCTTCTTTTGAAGAACCAGTGAATCTCCTGCAGCGCTGCGTCGCTCCTCCAGAGGTTCGAACTTTTCATTTCCTCCATTGCTGGTTTGGGTTTTCTGACTGGGATTAGATCCTTTCTGCAGCTTCAGCAGAATTTATTCTGAGCTCTAATTTCACTTTTCTACTTTCTTCACATCTTTTACTCGCTTCATGTCGTCGATAAGCAGCAGCCTGTCCTCCACCACAGTTACAGCATTTCCCTGGTTTTCCATGTCCCTGCTCTCCAGCAGACCTTCCACTTGCTGTTTTCCTTTGCATCCTGCTGCTGTGGGACCGAATGTTTGGCCTTTAAAGCATCATTCATCATTTTCACATTATAACTCATGTAACCAATGAGAACCTGACTGGGAAACTGCTCCTCTTTACATTTGATCAACACTGATAAACTTTCACACCTTTCTCCGTTTCTTGTTGTTTTTAACCGTTTGTTTTTTGCACCAGTTATATTTTCTAGAATCTTTTTATCAGAAACTTACAGGACCTCCTCCAATGACTCCCCTGCTGATGGTTTTGTTCTCCACCAAGCAGCACTGAACTCTTTTCCCTCCATCTTGTTATCCGTCTAGTTCTGCCTTGCTGAGGTTTGGTCTCTGCAGTTTCCTACTGGTTTATTTATGGTTATTAACTGAACTGGATTCCAATCTACAGAAGCGTCTCCCTGATTAACTCGTCTGAATACGAGTTTATAATAATTTTGTTTTCCTGTGGAATTTCTAGATTGTTCATCTCTAGATTGTTCTGAACTAGACTCCCCTTCAGTTTTTCGACTCTTTTCTCTTCCAATCTTCTTGGTTTTTCACTGTTTGGTTCTTCCATCCACCCAGAATCACTTCCTGTTCCCTCTCTACTCATGAATCAGGACGTTTCTCCACCAGCGACGTAGAAACGCGCCATGCACCCTTCTTCTTCTTCTTCTTCTTCTTCTTCTTTGGGGTTTTTACTGGCGGGTGAAATTTAACGTATTATCGCCATCTCCTGTGGACCAGAGTGTCTCCCTTTTATCTAAATTCTTATAAATAACCCTGTTTCCTTTAAAATGTTTAAAAATGCTTTATTGATTTTATGTTGTTGTCAGAAAATTGAATTTCTCTTCTATTATATATTAATTTATCTTATTTACTCTATATAAAAGTTTTCAGTCTGTTTCACCTTGAAGGCCGCACCGATCTCTGCAGGATGGTGTCTGTAGAGCAGCAGAGCTTCTTCCATAATAAACCAGGTTCTTTCTCAGGTTTATTCATAACATGTTACTGTTTAACCAAAGTGTCTGTAATTAGTTTAACTCTGACTGTTTTCCATTGTCGTCAGTAATGAGGAACGAACGCTGCTCAGATCAGAACCGTTCATCATGATGCCATTAGGGCTGCATGATGAACTGTTCTCTCTTTGCAACGATATGAACAAACGTTCCGACTGAGTGAAATCCATCGATCTCCGTTTATTTAACCAGGATGAATGATTGAATACTATTTTCCACTACAATATTTAAGGAATATTTTGTTAAGTTTTATTGTCTCTATATCATTTTCCTAATTTCTTCTTTAGCTTCTCTTTACTTAAACTTTTCACGATGAATTATTAATGTTCTAATGTTCCCATATCCCACCACACTCACAGCTGCCGGCTGGATGTTTACCATCAAATCTAAAGTTTTATTTTATCCAGTATGTCCGATCTGCAAACTTGTTCTTTCTGCTTTATCCATGGATGATGGATGGATGGATGATGGATGGATGGATGGATGGATGATGGATGGATGATGGATGGATGGATGATGGATGGATGATGGATGGTTGGATGATGGATGGATGGATGATGGATGGATGGATGGATGATGGATGGATGGATGATGGATGGTTGGATGGATGATGGATGGTTGGATGGATGGATGGATGGATGGATGATGGATGGATGGATGGATGGATGGATGGATGATGGATGGATGATGGATGGATGATGGATGGATGATGGATGGATGATGGAAGGATGGATGATGGATGGATGGATGATGGATGGTTGGATGGATGATGGATGGTTGGATGGATGGATGGATGGATGATGGATGGTTGGATGGATGGATGGATGGATGATGGATGGTTGGATGGATGGATGGATGGATGATGGATGGTTGGATGGATGGATGGATGGATGATGGATGGATGATGGATGGATGGATGGATGATGGATGGATGATGGATGGATGATGGAAGGATGGATGATGGATGGATGGATGATGGATGGTTGGATGGATGATGGATGGTTGGATGGATGGATGGATGGATGATGGATGGTTGGATGGATGGATGGATGGATGATGGATGGTTGGATGGATGGATGGATGGATGATGGATGGATGATGGATGGATGATGGATGGATGATGGATGGATGGATGGATGATGGATGGATGGATGATGGATGGATGGATGATGGATGGTTGGATGGATGATGGATGGTTGGATGGATGGTTGGATGGATGATGGATGGTTGGATGGATGGATGGATGGATGATGGATGGATGATGGATGGATGGATGGATGATGGATGATGGATGGATGGATGATGGATGGATGATGGATGATGGATGGATGATGGATGGATGATGGATGGATGGATGATGGATGGATGGATGGATGGATGGATGATGGATGGATGGATGATGGATGGATGATGGATGGATGGATGATGGATGGATGGATGGATGGATGGATGATGAATGGATGGATGATGGATGGATGGTTGGATGGATGATGGATGGATGGATGGATGGATGATGGATGGATGGATGGATGGATGATGGATGGATGGATGATGGATGGATGATGGATGGATGATGGATGGATGGATGGATGGATGATGAATGGATGGATGATGGATGGATGGTTGGATGGATGATGGATGGATGGATGGATGGATGGATGGATGGATGATGGATGGATGGTTGGATGGATGGATGATGGATGGATGGATGGATGATGGATGGATAGTTGGATGGATGATGGATGGATGGATGGATGATGGATGGATGGATGATGGATGGATGGATGATGGATGGATGATTGGATGGATGATGGATGGATGGATGGATGATGGATGGATGGATGGATGGATGGATGATGGATGGATGATGGATGGATGGATGATGGATGGATGGATGGATGATGGATGGTTGGATGGATGGATGATGGATGATGGATGATGGATGATGGATGGATGATGGATGGATGGATGGATGGATGGATGGATGATGGATGGATGGATGGATGATGGATGGATGATGGATGGATGATGGATGGATGATGGATGGATGATGGATGGATGGATGATGGATGGATGATGGATGGATGGATGGATGGATGATGGATGGATGATGGATGGATGATGGATGGATGGATGATGGATGGATGATGGATGGATGATGGATGGATGGATGGATGGATGGATGGATGATGGATGGATGATAGATGGATGATGGATGATGGATGGATGGATGATGGATGGATGATGGATGGATGGATGATGGATGGATGATGGATGGATGGATGGATGGATGGATGATGGATGGATGGATGATGGATGGATGATGGATGGATGGATGGATGGATGATGGATGGATGGATGATGGATGGATGATGGATGGATGATGGATGGATGATGGATGGATGGATGATGGATGGATGATGGATGGATGGATGATGGATGGATGGATGGATGATGGATGGATGATGGATGGATGGATGGATGATGGATGGATGGATGATGGATGGATGGATGATGGATGGATGATGGATGGATGATGGATGGATGGATGGATGGATGATGGATGGATGATGGATGGATGGATGGATGGATGGATGGATGATGGATGGATGATGGATGGATGATGGATGGATGGATGGATGGATGGATGATGGATGGATGATGGATGGATGGATGGATGGATGGATGGATGATGGATGGATGGATGATGGATGGATGATGGATGGATGGATGGATGGATGATGGATGGATGATGGATGGATGATGGATGGATGGATGGATGATGGATGGATGATGGATGGATGGATGGATGGATGGATGATGGATGGATGGATGATGGATGGATTGATGGATGGATGGATGGATGGATGATGGATGGATGATGG